GCCTTAAAATCAGTGAATTGATTCAAATTGTTGGTCAGTTGGATGTTTTTCAATCTATTGTCTTAAAATCTAACTGTAATCAACTGTTAACCAGTCTACATCAGTGCTGACACAAGAATTCAGTTATGTAAAGATAATTACTGTTAGGCTGGACTCCGATCCTGCACCGCAACGAGGACCCCACATCTAGTCTCCCTCACTGGAATACTGACAGCTGTGTCTCATTGTAGTTTCAGTTTTGCTTAATCACCAGTCTCAGTTAACTAGTTTGACCAGTTTCCTCAGTGCAAGGAATTGTCAACTAATGTCCAGTATCTGAGTGTTCAGTACCCTTGCTTTCCCCCAATGTTCGATTCCCTTCCTGTGTGGTTCCATGTGCCTGATCCATCCAATACCCACTGCCGTGTGTGTCCCACTCCCACCTTTGGAATGAGCATTTGTCTTACTTCATCTGTGGCTGTACGCGTGCCTGCCTTACCAAGCACCACCAGGACAGATCTTCTAGCTATTCAATCTCTGATCATATTTTTGATGATGACTCCAGCCTAGCATTTTTGTTTCCCATCTGGATACCCAGCTCCCATGAGGCTTCACTATAATTATACTGAAGCTCTCGTTTTGGGCATATTATAAGCAGACCCAATGCATTGCGAAAGGTGGTAATGCATGAAATGTTGAGGGTAAAAGATGAAGAGGACAACCAACAACATTATGGACTCAATAATCACTGAATATAATGCTGAGAAAGAGGAAGACCCAGAAAGGAGAGTGGAGGTTCCAGAGAAAGACATTCATATGGTCACCAAGAGTCAGCTTGGATTTTGCAATGAGTCGACACCGGCACCAGATAATAATGAAGATACTGCACAATCCCACATACATATATAGCATATAGCATGAACTGAGCCATCTATACTACATCAGTTAGGTAAAAAATACATCTAAATGTGTTGTGATAACTGAAGTCTGTCAATGATTTCATCTGTTATTCTGGTACTCCTGACAATCTACAGGCGGCATGACAATATTAATCCATTGTACCAAGAACAGATGGCAGTAAATAACCTTAAATGATGTTTGACTTTGGATGCAAAGCAGTAGCTTTATGGTTTGATATCACATAAAACCCATTCCAGAGCTACTTTTAGAGGTGCATATGAAAACAAATCTGCCTTTACTGCAGCAGGGCAAGAAATCAGTTGCTCTAATGTGCAGTTTTCAGTGACCCATTTGTTTAATGTCACAGAACTGGTTAAAAAAATATCTTCCCTGAAGAAATCATCCTGATGTCCCTCCCCAAGCCATAACATCAAGGGGCATCCTATCATTGCCATAGTAAAAGTCTGGTAATCTGTTTTTACGGTACATATACCTTCCATTTATTGTTATGGTGAACAGATGGACGATCCACGTAGCAGCTCCCACAAACAGTTTTATTAAACAAAACACAAAGGGAGAACTGGAAAGCACGAGGGGTCAAAACAAATAAACAAGAACAAAACCAAAGTAAATTAACACTAAAAACACAACTAAGAATAGATAGGCAAAAAGACATGTGGAGACCAAGCAAGGATCAAAACACTAACAAACAGGAAATAACCCACAGTAACAACCACTATGACTAACTGAGGAAACAGGGCAAGGAAAGGCACATATATGGATAATGAGGGCTAACAAGGGACAGGTGTGGGCTGTTACAAACAGACTAGGGGCAATGAGGAGCAGGAGGGGTCAATCAACAGACTGAGAGGGGGTCCAAACACTAAGGAAATCTAAAACAAAGAAACCTGAGCATACTGCAAACAGGGAACAAAAGACTAACTGAAACACACAAACATATGATAAACCAAGATAAACCCCAAAATAAATGTTAACAGCCTCGAATCTACAATAGAAGGGGAGTGTGGACAACAGCTAAATACTTAAGCCACATGATAGCCGGGGGAACAGGAAAACACTAGGAGTTAAAGACATGGGATGGCCAGAGACACCTGCTAGCCAAACAGGGAACAAACATTAGAGGGGTAGGGCAGGGACTGATCGTGACAGTAAACACTCTTAACACAAACACTGGGGGCATGAGGTACTGCCAGGACCACGGAGGACAGGGAACATAGCCGACTGTAACAGAACTACACAGAGAAACCAACAAAATCCAGGGACAGGAAAGACTGGACTAGGACCATACACCAGTGGGGAATCAACACAGAGAAGTGGAACATGAGAACATGGGAAAGGGCAACAAGAATGGGGAACAATACAGGGAACTGAACTTGGGAAGCTCAGGGTACATGGACCACTGATGGGACACACAACGGGAGGAACAGAGGGGACATGACCAGGACGTAAGGGAGGAAGAGGGACACGAATTTGCAGGACCAGACTGGAGACTGTGGGACTTTGGGGATGTAACACTGGATGGGGAGCAGGACACAGGAGGTTGGGCAAGGAAGACCACTGCAGGCTTAGCTGTGGAATACACGGGTGAACTAAACAGCAGCAGTACAGGAGCTGGTGAGGTCGGGACGGATCAAGACAAGACAGGGCAAACAGGCATGGAGGTTACAGACCTGTAGGGGAATCTATGGAGGGCTTGTAGGACCTAGGATGGGCACCGGTGGTGGTTCAGGGGAGGCGGCAATGGCATCTATGCCCTGGTGACCCCTCTGGGGCAGAAAAAGCAGGTAAAGGCTGCAGCCTGTTGCTAGGCACCAAGAACGCTGGATGAGCTCTGGCAGGGCTGGCATCAGCAGTATGGCAGCCTCCCTCTTCCCAGCATCGGGCTGGTTCCTGCATGGCTTGGACTGGGAGATCTGCACTCACTTTTTTGGGTAAATTGTTGGTTTTTTTTTTAGTAAAGCAAATCTAAGTTTAGCAAATAATATGGCCAATGGCAATTAAGACAAAGGGTCCTATTCAGCATCTGATGTGAAATGGTTCCATGCATGATAGGAGTGTCTTTGCCAGTAGGATGCATTTTCTTGTCCAGCTGGGAGGTAATGGCTTTGTTCAAGGGCCTATATACATGTGACTATTCTATCAAGGCTGAGCACAAACTGGTGACCTGCTGAGCACCGGTATGGAGGCTTAGTCTGCTGGGTCTAAAGTGAAAGATGCACTGTTTCACTGTAATTTTATGTCGCGTAGAATTTGCTTTTAAAAAAATCCTCAAGTTTTTGTGCAGCACTATTGAGTACAAGTCACTTAATTATAAGCCTTAACGATCACATGTTAAAATACAAGGAAATTTAATAGTTACCTTCTGGTCTTGCATAATGGGGGCCCCATGCAGCTCATCAGGCTAAGCCTCCCTGTCTATAACCAGAAGGTCACAGGTTCATACCTGGCCTCAGCAGAATAGTCACATGTCTACGGGTCCTTGAGCAAAGCCCTTAACTACCAGCTGGACAGGAAAATGCATCAGGCTCATGCTGGCAAAGAAATTTGTGTCATGCATGGAACCACTTCAGATGCTGAATAGGACCCTTAATTGCTATTGACCATGTTTTTTGCTAAACTTGGATTTGCTTTACAAAATATTAATTTTCCCCCCAAAAAAAGTACAAAAATGATAATTCCTGATGTTTTAAATTTTATGCATGTTTTTTCATCTGACAGTAATTATGTTTTTTAACAGACATTTTCTGGCACCCCTGCTGCCAGAAAACTTTAATTTTGTACACTTTTTGTACAGTGCACATGGAATCACATATAGAAGATTGTAAAACACTGACTTGTGGTGAACATATAAAACATGATGTGTCGTCATATATTGAAATACTGTAAGAAATGGTTAATAGCCTTATATGAACCATACATTGTTTTTTTCATACGGGCTTCTTCGTGTATTGCATACAGTGGATAATGGAATTGCCATTATGGCACCGACCTGAGGTGCCGCAGTGCTGTAGGTGGAGGGCTGCTTCTCAGCATAACTGGGAAACATCATTTTCATTGATGATTTGACTTCACTGGATTTGGTAACACTTTACTTAAAGCACTCATATATAATGCATTATGCATGCCTTCATAATGCTTTATAATGCATTCATAAAGTATTTTACATATGGCTATAACAATAAAACGACATTACAGAATTCATAGCCATGTTTATTATGCATTATAAATGCCCTATGAAGCTCTCAATTATAATGCACTATAAATACCTTCATAATGCATTATAATGGCTTAACTGACCATTGCATAAAACATTATAGACATGCCTTTATATAAGTAGTTATGGCTGTGGCTATAATACTTTATGAATGTAATGTAATGCATTATGAAAGTAACTATAATGCATTATACATGAATGCTCTAAGTGAAGTGTTACCCAGGGATTTTCTTGTTTATTTGTGGACTAGGAGTGTTCATTTTGGCTAAGAATACTGTTGTACGCAAGCTATGCAATTATGTAGGTGTAGGAAGGTGTTGTGGAACAAACACAACAAAATACTGTCCCTGGGGGTAGTTTAGCCCTCATTTCTCTGACATGGTAATTGTGACGCAGAAAAATAAGAGCTAGAATAAACATGCTCTCTAGGACAGTCTATGAAATGGTGGCACTCAGCAGTGATGTGAAACAAGGTAATTGGGGCAAGATGCCCCAATTCAGTGTGTTCCTGGAAATCCAGCCATTCATCTTCCCTTTTCGAACACTTCACCAGTATGGGGACATGGTGTGCTGTCCATCCATCCATTCATATTCTATTTTACACTGCTTGTGTGATACATGGTCATTAATCTAAAAAACGAGGCAATGGATACCATGGACAGATAGCCAGTCCATCGCAGGTGACACACATGTTCACTCACACACTATGGGCAGTTTGGTGATTCCAATGATCAACCACCCACTCCCCCCCCCCCCCCCCCCCCCCCCCCAATGTTTTTGGACTACACGTGGATCCTGGAGTACTCAGTACTCAGAGGAAACCCACGAGACAATGACAATCAAACAAATTGTGACATAAACCCCTTAGAAAACAACATATTCCCTCCACCTTTAAACACTCAACTTTGTTTTTAATGACAGAAAACTCTAAACAAAGCCATAGTCATTTTGTTTGAAAATAGAGCATAAGGAAGTTCTAACAGAATGAATAACAAATTGCAAGAATACAATTTTAGTACATTATTTTGGGTCAATGCAGTTCCAATAAATTTCGTCTTGGAGAGATCAAGTTAACAACTGGCTTTCTTCTCACAGATATATAGTTTTTCCAAAGTGCATTTTTCCGCATAAATTTTGTCTGTGGATACCATTGTACAGTGTTTGTTATGGTGGTCGGTATTATTGAAGTAGTGCCTATAGAAAAAAATGGTATATTTTATCATTATAGAACTAAAATACTTGCACCTGAGTGCAGTTTTACAATTCAATTATAATTTTTGAGAAGTAGATAAACACACTGATGCCTCTTTATGTGCCACCTACATAAATGAATGAATTCCATAACACTACCCATTGTTATACTTACGTTCTGTTCAATGGCCTGCCTCCAGTCCATAACCATCTCGAATCATGTTCTGTTTTATTTAAGCCAATCCAGTAGAATGTTTTCCCCATGTGTTGTCGCAAGAAATTCTGTTAAAGAAAACTTTATCACAGTTGAATTTAGGCACATCTCCATATATTAAGTTAAATTTTGTTACTTGTGACAAAATTAATATAAATCTTATGACAGGAGTTCAACATTCTATTGATGTGTTCTCCAAAAGTTTTTACTATAGTTCTGTAATTTTTGATCTGAATGTTGCATAGAGGCAGCACGGTGGCACAGTGCTGCTGCCTCACAGTAAGAATGCCCTAGGCTCGGTCCCAGGTCCTTTCTGTGTGGAGTTCACACACTCCCCCAATGTTTCCACTGGGGGCTCCGATTTCCTCCCACAGTCCAAAAGCATGCAGGGCAGGTTGATCGGTGAGTCTAAATTGGCCTGTGTGTGTGCGCGCCCTGCAGTGGGTTGGTTGCCCAGGGTTGGTCCCTGGGACAGGCTGTGGTGACCCCAGTTGGGATTATGTGGTTATGGTAATGGTTGGATGCATGTTACATAGGTACCTAAACACTGCTTTGTGTAATTTGAGTTTTAATCTAACACACATAAATTAAATGACTGTTTCTGCTAAGACCGGTTTTGTGAGATTGCAGATTTGTAGGACATAAATTATCCCAGTAACACTGATAAGAGGCTATTCTGTCCAGACACGCAAAATAACAAATCGAGTTGGGGGCCTGTGACGTAACCCTGAAAGGTCTCACCAGAATGCCCGGATCCTCTGTATCAGCCAGCTGAGAGAAGTTGCTGGAACAGGATCTAAGAGCAAACTGTCTGTCCTGCTTTTCTCTGGAGAACAGGTAGCACTGGCTCTTGTGTAGTAACCAGTCAAAGGGGCATGGAGGTCCTGAAGAGGAAGCTTGAGAGATAAGCAGCAAGGAAGTCGAACAGTTGAACGAGAACAGGCTTTGGATACTGGGTTTTGGTTCATAGTTGTGGAAACTGGAGGGAACCCCATGACAACACGGGGAGAACATGCCAACTCCACACACGGAGAGACCTAGAGGAGACTCGAACCCCAGTTCCTTGGATGCAAGGCAGCAGTGCCACTATGCTGCTCCCCCATATATATACTGTACACTAACCCTAACTCTAATCCTTTTAAATATACACACTAATGATTATTGTAGTTATTTTAATACACTGCAATGTCACTGACATCAGATGTTCAATACAACACAAGAGATCACGAGGTAAAATGCTACTTAAGAGTGCCACTTAGTAAGTATGTGCAAGAACTCACAAATGTATCATACAATGATTTTCCTTGTTATTTGTAGTGTAATTTTTCATGGAATATTGTTATTACTTATTATTTTACATTTTTATTTTATTTGTTTTTTTTTTTATACTGATTTTGTAGAATCGTGCTGGCTATGTAAATGCCGGACACAATGGCTTTAATTGCTTTCTTCTAATCTTGCCCCAGTGCCATGATTGACATTGTGTGAATAGCAGGCTGATTAAAAGGCAACAATGGCTTTAAATACGTTGTCGTTCATACCCCAGTTACACGGGATTTCTCCGAGAGCAGTCATTCCTGCCTGTCCATCGGAGGGCAGGTCACAACCATTCCCATCTGGCTGAGGTGACAGCCCACTGCATCTACTTCCCTTATGCAACCTGACAACTGAAGAAGAGATTAGATCTCCTGCTTCACCACCTTTCTCTTGTCAGGGTAGAGACAATAGATGAATGCAAGGAAGACAAACAGACATGCCTGACAGAAATGACCACTCTTACAGTGTTAGCAAACAAATCAATCTTGCTTGTGATTTCTGACATTCATTTGAACTCCCCAGACAGCACCTTGGTATAAACATGCTGGTGTAAAAGGTTCATTGCAGTCCTGCCTTCACATTGGACAGATTTGCAAAATTCAGGCTCACTGACTTCCTAAATGTGCTTTGAGAGCAGAGCACAGCTGCAGAGCTGCAGTTCCTCCTTAGTCACGATGATGAAATGAGGTTGCCACACAGAAAGATATTGCTGAAGTCACATGTTTGTGTACGTGTGTGGGGGGCATAAACGGCTTTGCGTTAAAATTTGTACAACTTTACAAAACAGCATTTGAGCAGGAGAGGCATTGTTGTAATGTGTTGCGGCAAATGAGGTGAGGTGCTGAGGGCTGGCTTTGTGAACAAGATCACACTTTTTGTATTTAGTGTTGTTTATAAATCCAGAGCTTAATTAAAAACTTGCTGGTTATTATACTGTACTGTGGAGTGTATAATGTGTGTAAGTGCAGAGTGTCACCAGTCTTTGGTCACAATTAACCTATAACTAAGGAAAATTTTTGTTAACTAAAATAAGTAAAACAAGTCTTACCTTCAATAGTCATTACAACAACAACAATGAATAGAATAAGTACAGCAAAGACAAGGATCCAGGTTACTTTGGATAAAGAATGTGCTGTGAATGAGAGAGAATGCACACAAGCTTCATGTAAAAAACACCTTAAGTACTAAGTCAATGTACAAATTAAAGGATACTTTTCTGTATTTCTGCAGTTCTGTTGTTTTTCTTTCACATTTGATTACAAATTTTTTTTTTTAAATTGAAATCAGACCTAAAGTAACAAAAGTTACAAAACAGCATTGTTAGATGTATTGCGTATAAAGTAAGACATTTCTTGACATATAGATTGATAAGGTAGGTACTGTATGGGTTAAAGGTGACTACGGTGAAGAAAAGGCAAAAGAAAATTAATGCAAGTTACATTTGGAGCCTGAAACATTGCCTAATATTCCAACTGTGCTTACATTTGAGGGTGCCGAAAACCATCTTTCTAGGTTTAATATGCTCTTCTTCCTTGGTAAACTTCACTTCTGTGTAGACCACGGAGTCGTCCATTGTCTCAGCCTTTCCGTAAGACAGAAAGCTGAGGAAATGGGTGCAGCAGATAGACACAGTGATGAGGAACTGATGAGAAAGTGTTTTTAGAATGACATACAGTATTTTTATGAGGAGTTATTAAAGCAGTACACATATTACACGCTATCTGCAAGCAGAATTTCCATGTGTATTTATTCCAAAGAATGTATTGCTGTAATGTTTTAAAGGATAAAGTGAAAAGATAAGCCTTTGCAACATGAAGAAATGATACATGCAGGACATTTGTTTTTCTGCAAAGACCATTCAGAAAAGGCTGCTAGTGAATCAATCATGATTTCAAAGAACTGCTGAATGAAAAGTAGTTTTAAATAGATGGGAAAAGAAGTTCTCTGATGTTAGTGTTTATAAGTTTAAAGCTTTGAAAGAACGTTTTGCTTTCTGTGTATTTATCAGTATGTTTAGATGTAAAAACCCATTGTCTTGTTCTTATCATGGTGAACTCTCAATGACAAATTTGGTGCTGATTGTAAAGACGGCATATTGTGTTTATTCATTAATGCGTTTTGTCTCCATCTACTGGACACTTTCAGGGATGTTCATGTTGTAATGTCGATGCTTAAATTCCTACTCATTTGTATGTTTTTCAATTGTCCTTAGATAAAATTAACATATTTACCATTAAAACAAATAAACAAACTCATGATACATATGGTGATAACTATTAAACCCCAATTAGGCCAATGCAAGAAGTATAGATAATTTAAAATATACACCAGTTTTTAACAATACTTTATTCACTGTTTGTACAAGCACAGATACAGGAATTCTTTTTTTTCCCTCTTATCACACTTTGCTCCCCACTGAGACATAAACATATATGGGTGAGAGTGAAGTTTTGGGTCAGAGCCCAAAGTCAGCGATGTATCTGGCCTCCATTAAACGTGTTTTCGGGTGATGTACCTGCCCTGCTCACCACAGGATTTGAACCAGTGACCTTCCACACAGACACCAAGGCCGAAACTGCAGAGCCACACACCATGTGTTCAAAAGCCTTACAACGCCTCAAATTGTTGGCCTTGTTTACGTCACAGTGTAGTATGCAGATATGTCTACATCACTAAAATATTATACATTGGTCAACTATACATATGCTGTGTTCAGCTGTTGAATTTGTTCTTATTGTATATTACATCCATTACCTGTCCATCAATTATTTTTGGGTCATAAACAAACAAACAAATGCTTATTACAGTGACCTTGGAGACATGGACTGTTGCAGCTGGACACAAGACACTTATACACAACATGGAAAAGAAATAAAATCTAACAGAAAGTACTATGTTCTCAACTTAGCCTATTCTTCCATACACTCAGTGTGAAAAGACATTTTAATGAAAATAAACAAATCTGATGATACAAAAACTGATGTGCCGAAACATGTTGATACAGCCCCTACACTCACACAAAGCTTCGTTCTAAAGTATTATTCAGTACACAGGCATTTCTCCACTGGCCAAAAAGATCACAGTTACTTGAAAATCAGACCTGTGTTTGGATAGTCTCACAGAAGTTGCCAGCTTCATTCTCCCCATTCTTTCAACAGAAGTTATAACACAGAACAAGACAAAAGCTTTTACAGAAAACATATAATGACTACCACACAGCTTGAAGAGAATTTATAATAATAAAGTAAGATCTATAAAGAAAAATCCAAAATGATTAGTTTTCTCTTAAGAATAGAGTACACAATGCATAGTTGTCAGTAATAATATAAAAATATTTTGTAGTTATTACAACTGAATTTCTGATATAAGTTGCAGCATATTTCTGAATTTTTAACCAAATATAATATAAATGTCTCTAAAACATTGGCTGAAGTTAAATGCTCCTCACAGTTCTCTATAAGCTCTGGGTCAGCAGTTTGTATTGTGAAAATAACCTTTTTGTTGCAAGATGTACTTGTTGAAAGGATCATAGTTAATCCTTCATGACAAACTAAACACTTAATAATTCTGCACGCAGAGAATAAAAAAGATGCATTTGGGAACAGGCATTTCTCTCTATATGCCTCTGTGGTAACTTAAGACTGCAAATACTAATGTGAACCTGTTAACACAACATGGATATTCACAAAACAAAATATAAAACTATAAAAACATAACACCCAGTGTAACATCAGCCAGAGACCAGTATGGTCCTGGGAGGCTACATAGTCATGCAGTGTAAACTTTCGTAGAAATAAAGAGACTTCTTCATGTTTAAACTTCCGTAGCTTTGGCAAGACGAGCCGCCTATGAGATGAATATTGGGCTGATGTTACCTATCAAAGCAATTCAGCACCATGACTCAACTCCCAAAGTGAATTCTGTTCATATTCGCTATTACTACAAACCCCGTCTATGGTCACTGAAGAGGAATTCCAACAACGAATGAATCCATCTTGTTCATCAGCAGAGAGATGATCTTTGAAGCCCAGGAAACACTTTACTGCATGGACCAAGAGCGGACATGAATTTGCCCTGTTACCCTCTGCTGTCGATTTGTTCCAGGTTGTATTGGAAATGCAATCAGTTGCAAATTAGTTACACTGTTTTTATTTCTCTTCTTTCACTTGCCTTTTTAAAACATCTTTCCTATGTAGTGATGATTACAAGAAAAGACCCCTCCTCCTTCCTGTGTTCACTTTGAAGTTTTCCAAAAATCCATTGTGCTGGGAAAAGGTAAAGAATATTTATGGCAAAAAAAGGTTGAGAGATATTATGGCAAAATGTTCACCAAGAGCTGGATAAAACTGTCATCCGCATGCCAGCAAATGACACATAAACCAGCCAATTTCATTACTTAAAAATAAAATAAACAGCAATGTATGGATATTCCAACAAAATACGAAGTGACATGTTTTAGGCGTTTTAGGAAAATCCTTCTTGAGACTTAATATTAGTTCACTGCAGTGGACCTTTGATATGGGGGCGTTTGGCGTGTGAGAGACAATTGCTCTGCCAGCTTTCTTCCATCCTTACTTCTGATTTCTGTTCTTTGTCTTCACAACCACCAGCATCACCATCGCAGGGATCAGGCAGATAGGGGTCATCACTAGGGCCAGGAGGACGTCGGGAGGCGGGTCATCAAACTCTTTGACTGGGCAGGATTTGAAATGGGTTGCATGGATATCCACAAACATGTCCTCCACCAGCTGGTTAGGCCAGGGAATCTTTAAGCAGTCTGCCTTCTCCTCTGTGCATTTTGTGAAGCTATCATAGGGCCTACAGAAAAGAACCAGTCATGAGTGACTCCTCGAATTTCTAATGCAGCTGTTATTTTTGCACACTCTGTGCGTCAAGAATAGTTTATATCTCATATAGAAATTCACAGTCATTATGCTCATATACGTAAATACTGACATGCATTTAGAAAAAAAATACAACACTGATTTGACACTGAAAATGTTTAACTGATCCAGGCAAGTTACAGTTTTACTTAAATATTACAGTACATGTTTTGCCAGTACAAAGTCCATGCATTCTGCTTGCGTACGCTTGTGTGAGTTTGCACAGACCTGTGTAATATTACTAAATAAATAATGGCCAAAATTGTGGAAACACTTCCAATTTTTAGAGATTGCAGATTTTTATTCAACTGTTGCTGCAGTTATCTATTTAATCATCCAATGTATATTTGTAACATTCTTTGATTGTTTATCAACATTACCGCCAATATTCGTATAGTAATGCCAAAAATGTAGGTGTTTCCACAGTTTTGGCCATTAGTGTATGTACTATGTAATTACAATTCTGGTAACAGATAATAATAAAAAGGTATGACAGATGTATTAAATCACAATTTCAAGATTTTGGTCATATGTGCATGACTTACCATTTTATTTTATCCCATACACACAAGTCACTGGTGTTCAGAGCTTCAACTTTGGAGGAAAATTCATCTAAGCAAATATGCTGAAGCAGGTTTTCATAGCATATCAGCCTTGTAGGAAAATATTCATCACAGACCTCACAGAGTTCTTTGCATATAGAATTTTTGCCTAAAAAGAAAAAAAGATCAAGACTACACCTGCATAAATAAGCATATTTAAAGCATCCCCAGTGATTTTTTTTTCACCACTAACAGTCTTCTGTTCAGTAACGAGAAATAATAAATCCATGATATGGTGAGTATTGTTAAAATGGGACACTTTCTGAAAATTTTCTTTCGGGAAAAAATGACAGAGGAATCTTCAATACCAACTTGATACCATTCTCAATAGATGAATGCCCCTTGAACAGTATGTAGAAAATAAACTATTACTAAACATATATTTTAAAGTTTAAGGTTAATTGTCCCATTTTGGAAAGTGTTCCATTTTAACAATACTCACCCTATGTGTGTGTGTGATGTGTAAGTATACCTTCTGTACCTTCTGTTGCGTTAGCCCCATTGTTGAAATCTGAATTAAAGTGGAAAAAACAGAATTCATTAGTTAAAATATACTAGGATTATAGGTGTTTAGACAACAGCTAAGGATTATTTTAAGATTGCCAGAATACCGTGCCTATATTGACACCCGTGGCTATAAATCATCATGATGATTTAAAAAAAAAAGTTTACGATGTGACAAAATTACCACGCTCTGTACGCGGAAAGACCAGACGCCGGTAACTGAATCGAGTTATTAGAGTATCTGCGATTTCTTACCAATTCCAAGGACGAGTAGAAGGATAATTCCCCCAAATACCGAAAAGAACTTCATGTCAAAGAAGACAGAGAAAATTCTCGGCGCCCGAAGTAAACCATCAAGAGGAGAGTCTGATCTACCATGAGTGAAGCGAGGCGTAACATGAAACTGGATGGGTGGAAGCAACACTCAGGACACAATGTTACTCTCGGTTACCAGATGTTCCGTAACTTTCCTTTGAACAGCTGCCCCAGTGATACAAACTTGTTTCATTTCACTCGCACGTAAGGGGGGGAATATATATCAATATATCAATCAATATATGTAGAATCTTGAAAAATTTGAAGCTTCATTTTTTCCCCAATTTTGTTATGGCACAGCTTTACCCGTCACATTAATTGGCTGCATGAAACATTAACATCAAATAAATCTATGTATGTCACCGAGCTGTATCGACGTACGATCCTTTTGATCGCAATATGTTCTAGAAAAAATATCATTCATTACCATAGTTTTGTATACTTTAATATACGGGGCGTAAGAAGTAGCATCTCAAATACCTCAAATCTCAGATGTCTTTTAAAGTATAATTTAAATAGGAAGCTAATACAGGCGGTGTAGTTTAAGGGCCGTGGGGGCGTTTGCGTGAGTGGCTGGAGGTGATCACGGCGGACACTGTGCACACGGCAGGGGATACACCTTGGACAGGACGCCGGTCTGTTACAGGGCATACACACACAATCAAGCAAGTCTTGGATTAGGAATACTGAGGTGTGGCTTATAGGGCACTTTATGCTAGGATGTGATTTTACTGTATACATCTCGCGCCCCCCATTAACTATGCAAGTCTAATTAATCATACCTGCTCATGTCATTATTCATTATGTTAAATCAGAACAGCACATCTGGTATGTCTTATTAATTTTACTGTGACAGGCGGATAATAGACACAAAGTGACATGAGAGAGACTTCTGCAAATAAACAATGCATGTAAAATGTCTTTGGTTGTTTTGAAGAAACAGGTTGGGTGCCGCAGCTGCATTTTCCCTTCTATTTTTTCAGAGACATCTGCTTGGTGCAGCTCCTAATGGCTCTCAATTTGGCAAGATTGTTATTCTTTGAAGGAGAGAATGTACAGAGGTGGTGCTTGGGGAGAGGAATTCGAGAGGTGGCAGAGTGTCAGCAAGGGGAAGCTGAAGCCCGATAGTGCTAATTGTTCTCTTGCAGGATGTGCCATTCTTGAGGATTTTAAATAATAAGACATTTCCGACAGTTTTGTAGAATATGATAAGGATAAATGATGTTACACCGCTCTGGGTGTTAAATGATTTTCTGCTATCTGTTAACTTAAATACCACTGTTGTCATTATTCATAACTTGATTTGTCCAGTTTTTAGAACAATTTGTTGGTCTCCCTATACAGTAGATATCAACAAAAAGTACATTATTGCATTATTGTGAAGGTAGCTGGCATTTAAAGGGCATGATTCATTTTTGTGTTCTGACACAACTGGGCCCTGGAAAATCCCAATTCAAACATATAGCTCAGTTCCCAAAAACAGAAAAAAAGTAGCATTACAGCATAAAGAAACAACAGACTTTCACTCTGCTTGATGATCTGTCTCATTCATGTTCAGCCACAGAGTGGTTTCTGCATCCACAGGCAACATTCTTCCAGGCCAAGCGGCATGGGGAGGGGGATGTTTCTATCTCTGTCAGCAGCTAAGAAGGAAAACAAAAGAGGGATGTTTTGGCAGTATCATGGGGGAAACAGATTCACAAAAACCACAGGAATACAATGGGTCACAAGAGGTACAGCTGTAGTCTAGGTTGGTAATTAGGGTCCAGGGAACACTTAATAAAGCTCAAATATCCATACTAGAAAAACTGAAAATACCTGTGGAGATAATGTTACTAGATTCAGCAACAGATTCTGTACAGAGGAAATGCAGGCAGCCGCATCTTGCTTTTTCCCTGCCTTGTGGCCATAGCCTCTGGGATAGGCTCTGGACCCCCCGCCACCCTGAACAGGATAAGTGATATCAGAAAATGGATGGATGGATGGAAATGCAGGCAGCAGAAACAACAAACACAAGCCAAAGGGGTCATTTTTCATGGATTTCTTATTGAAGTTCTTTGGGAGTGAACCAATTAAAATGCTGACAGCCAAGCACACAATGTGATTCATCAATTACAATTACCTTCTTGGAACTCATTCCTAAATTAAGGTCAGAATGCACAAACATTAATTGATTGTCAAAATATCCTTAATTTAATTTTTAAGAACTGCAAATGGTTTCAAAACCACAACACAGTCTGAGTTTTATTTTCTGTGGTTATGGTGGTATGTAGAGTTTCATCTGAAAACCACAGTAAATTAATCATTTTTGGATGTTTTTCCCCCAAAGAGAGTATGCTCCAGAATGAAGTGCCAATTTTTAATACATAACTATTCTGAATCTCTGTGATTCTTTCATCTACTACTTCTTTGATTTAATCAAAATTTTAATGAGCATTAACTTTACAAAGACATTTATAGCTACATAAAATTGTAACACACTTCTTGGTATTGTTGAGAAAAGCATGGTGTGAGGACTGTAGTGCTAAAATAGGCATTTGTGTGTGATTAAATTCTAAAGAAATTTGACTTCATTTCATATTAATTCTGTAAACTTCTTAACAAATTCTTGGCAATAAAACACACACACATTGGTATACCTACAGTATACCTATGAGTGCCGTCCATTCATGTCTATGGGCAAAACCCGAATCCCAATCACAACATCCTTATCCCTACCCAGCCCTAGCCTGAACCATAAGTAACCAAATGGAATACAAGGCTTTTGGCATTTTTTGTTTTTTGATTGCATTCACAGATTCTCATGAAATTAAGTTTTGCCTTGTGCGGATCTAGCCTGCAGTCCTCCGATCCTCACAAGGAGTGTTTTGTCAGAATTTGCTGCCTTGTGAGGTCCTTTGATCCTCACAAGTATAACAAGACTGACGCACACACACACACACACACACACAATATTTTTCCCCCAAGGGTGTAAATCTCATCTGCTCCCTATACATTTTGTTAGTATTGTTTATAAGTGCAACAACCGCACTGATGAGAGCAGGTCCCAGAAAATCCCTAAGCTAATCCCCAAGCCACTCAGATCCAGAGGTGTGTATCTGAGGGGACGTGCCCACCAACTTTGTACAAAGGAAGACTGTCGCTGCTGATAAACAAGCACACTTACCATGCTGGAGAAATCTGAGATGAAACGCCAAAAACCACACATGACCCGCAACAAAAATAAACACAAACCAAACTAAACATGCGCTTCTTTGGTGTCTGACTGTATCTGAGAATTGTGAGAGTAACTCCTTATTTATTGTGAGAATAAATATGGTATTTTGGCTACCCACTTATCTGTGAAGGACATTGGTCAGTTTTCCTAATTTTTTCCCAGCCCCAGAGTTTGTCTCCTACAGTATTCAGACTGCTGTTCATTCACACATTCACACACGCAGCACCAATTGTAATGGTGCAGTAACAGATAGAGTTCATTTCTATGCATATAATTCTTTTTTTACTAGATTGGAAAAGCAAAGATGTTATAAAATATCACCTTTTGTGTAAAAATGGCCACTTCAAGTAATTAGGAGTGAACCAAAATGTGGGTTTTACCAAAACTCCGTTTGAGAAAATAAATCTGCCAACAGCTAGCATATTCTAAAAGAATTATTCAAAGACATCTTTAATTTTTAGATACTATCTGGCTACAATAACATGTAAAAATACATGCTACCAATGTAAACATTTTTGTAATTTTGTAAAGTTAAAATAGACAAGTTTCTGCATAGTTTTGGTTAGTGTTGTTATATTTAAGGATTACAGTGTTGTGAGGATTTAGTTACAGGTATTTACACAAGGAGACCTTACTGTTCTTTAAAAAAAAGGTGAAGAAGAAGGAGCAAAGAAATACAAGAGAATGTCAGACTTTTTATGAGCAACTATGCAGTTCTTGCCTGGCTGCTGTTGCTTGGTGGTCATTGTCTATGTTGCTTGGTGGTCATTGTCTACGTTGCTTGGTGGTCATTGTCTACGTTGCTTGGTGGTCATTGTCTACGTTGCTTGGTGGTCATTGTCTACGTTGCTTGGT